CATTCAAAATCATATGGCTCCAGATGCAGCAAATAGTTACCTGTTGGTTTGCTGTTAAAATATTTGCACACAACACAGTGGATGGTAGTGGGTGGAGCAGCAAGAAACACTACATCTATGTGAAGCTGCACAGCACAGACACCATCTACCGTCATGTCCTTGGAAGGTATTGTTATGGCTTTTACTATAGGGAACCAAATTTCCACACATTCTGCAGCACTACATCGTCACAGAATTAAATATACTGCATTATCTTCACTGCACTGTAGATAAAATCAGTAGGCTAAAAGCCTTTTGTTATTGGTTCTATATCTCTTTTTAATGTCAACTCTTTAGAACAACAACAACATGGAAAACAATTTTAAGCACATAATTTGTGTTTACAATGAGCCCTATGTGTGACAGCATGTGTTAACACACAAACATTGTATTAGCAAAAAATAAGGACAGCTAGATAGATGAGGCAAAGTAGATGCAGTGACACACTCTGCTGATCCTAACTCTGTTTTCAATTAGGCTCCTCTGACAGTATGCTCATCCATCTGAAGGTAAATGGAAGTTGGAGACATTCAAGTCTGAGCTCAGGAATGGGGGGAGGTAGTGTGCATTGTAAATTTTACAGCCTACCAGGTGTCCCGTAGTCGGGCACTAAAACTCAAATGGCTGCCTTTCCTCTGTGGGGACTGATGACTTCCAGAAAAAACCTGACATGAAGTGTTTTGTTGAGAAAACATTTAAATCTACTGTATGGACACAGAATTACAAATAAAACTATTTGTACAGTTCATAGTCTTTTGCATGGATGGCTGTGTGATCACTGTGGCAAGCTTTATATTCAACATGTGATTCTGATGCCTTGCTGGGAATTAGCTTCATGGATGGCAGTATCATGGTTTCTCAATCATGTGAGGCCCACTGGTGTAGATGACTGACTTGCATTCATCTGTGATTAACAGGTTAGAGTGCATGCTACATAACTATAAATATCTTACCTTAGGATTGGTGTCATAAAATTATTGTTAATCCAGACTTTTCCAAACCAGAGAATCAAGCCAGAAACGGACTCCTATGAGAAACGCCATCTGAAGCTACATTACAGTCACAATAATGTCCGAGTTATGCTGCAATAAGCCAAAATACTGCAGCAAAGCCACTGTGAAAACATATTCTGATTCGTTGTCTGCAATAACAAATTACAGCATGCTGAGGAATACAGCATTATTTATCCTCCTGTGTACTTGATATGATGCTAACATACAGTTTTAATTAATATGCAATGTATAGCACTGTACTAGGAGTAAGCAAGGTCATGTAAGGTACCTCAGCATAAATTCTCTTAATGGCAGTGGTGTTAAGTGCTAATCACCATAATATGCAGCAAAATGCACTCAGTCCCCAGCTGGATCACTACACACTATTTAAGAGAACTCAAATTCAAGTGTATATCATCCTAAAATACCAAAAGCTACGCCAGCAAAAGCACAACACCAAAGTAATGCACAGTGGATTTTTGTCTGTACCCAAATTCTTTTTTTTGGTGTTGTGTAATATTTTTCCTCAGCGAGTTTGTGTTAAATCTGATAATGCATCTCTAGTAGCTTTATTTCATCCGGTACAATATAAATAGCAGCAAACGGAATGTGAAGCATAATAAAATGCACAAATCTTGTAGAGTCACATCTTCACTGATCAACCGTTTCCTTCTGGTTCAAATAAAGAAAATCTCAGAAACAGCTAACATCCATCACTCACCAAACCATACTTTACCTTACTAAGTGCACACACACACACACACACACACTTCGAGAAACCGACAAAAGCCTTGCAATGTGACTCATTCTGCATGATTAGCAGCAGCAGCATGAAGCTAATCTCTTACCACAGGAAAGCCCACTGGCTAAGGAGGTGTGAGGAACTCCAAGTCTGCTTGAGCCATAACACAAGTGGAAGGAGAAGAGGAATTAATCACTTCAAAGAAGACCAAAATATGTCCTACACCTGTCATGGTCACGTATTAAAACTTCAAAATCAAGCTCCGCTCTCCTGAGCAGAGGGATTTTCCAACGGTTTATTGCATTTTAAAGAAATATTCAAATGTGAAGTGATAGGTTTTAAAAAAAAAAGTTTGTAACTTTGGCTGATAAACTGAAAATCTACCGTATGCTCTCCTCCAGTGTTTACACTGTCTTTGAAAAGTCAAAATTTCATTGAGGTCTTAATGGAAATGCAGCCTTACTTAAAAATTGCATTAAATTATCAATTCTTTAAAATAAATCTCTCTCATTTAATTTTGTTCTATAGTTTCAAATAATGCAATAAAAATATAAAAACATGGATTTGCCACATTAAAGAAAATTATAAAAAGCAAGTTACTTTAGTGCATCACGCAGCTTTAAATGCAACACAATCCACCTCAATAAATAAAGAAATACACAGAAAGGGAACCAATGTCAAATTAGTGGTGTGCATTAATCATTTTACTGCACCTGCTGATTTACAGTACTTTGTCAGAGACCGCTCTGAAATTTAGGCCAAGAAACTGTGGCAGACAGGAGCTTTTGTTCAAACTAACTGATTAGAGGCCCCGGGGCAGACCCAGAACACGCTGGAGGCTTTTTATACATATACATTCCATATACCTTCGGAATGCCTCGGGGTCTGCCAGGATGGGCTGGGATGCACTACTGGGAAGGGGATGTCTGGGCTGTGGAGCTGAACCGGCTGCCCCTGGACAAAGTGGAATGGATGGATTGTTCAAATTTTATTTCTTACTCCACAGTCAAGATTTAAGTTTTGACTGCCAAAAATTTGAGTTCCTGATGAAGTGATACTATTGATCCAGCCCTGTCGACAGCCTACATAACTAAATAACTAGTTAATAATGTTTTGCTAATGAGCACTAAACCCATGCTTATTAACCTTTTAAACATACTATACTACTGTGCTACAAATTGTTTTTGATCCTCAAAAGGAACAAGGATACAGTAATTTCAATTATACAAAAAAAGTATTTGATAGCACAATTGCGCACAAGCGGTGACTGGTAGAAATAACGCTCTAGCTAGAATGAACTAACCTTGAAAAGAAATGAACCTAACTATTTCAAAGCCAGGAATGGGAGCACTGGCTGCTGAGGGATTTTTGACAACACATCACAATGCTAAACACAGAGCAAGTCATGCCACCAGCAGGGAATAAGAACAGAATTGTGCACCTGGCATTGCCATGCGAACGTGATGTACGAGGGGGAAAAAAATGTCTAGTATTTATTCTACTTGCTAGTGTACCACCAGAAGGCTGTTAATATTCAAGTCTCTGGGCATGTGCAACAGTCATGTAATGAATTTTCTCTCTGCAATTCAGACAGGCCTTTGCATATAGCTGAGAGACTTCTGATCCACTGACGGGTGACAGCCAACGATAACAAAATATCCCCCCTATAATTACTGTTCACATATTGCAAGCCAGCATTACTGTGGATTAGTCTTCCAGCAGCTGTGTAACAGTAAGGCTACAGCTAACAGAAAAAAACCCCATCTCTTATTCACACAATTTACAGCTTGCTCATTTTCTTACCATCCCCTCAGCTCCCTCTCCCCTTCGCTTCCGTCTGACACATCCAAAAATCACAGACATGCAGCACAAGCTTCAAAGAGCACAGATAACTTAGGAATGCAAGACTGACTGTAATTCACTACAACACATGCAATAAAAATGTCATATTCACAACCAGAGAGTGGCATTTGGGTTTAATGTTCCCGGCCCTCTCACCAATGCTGTGACTGATAAGCGGGCATTGGAGGGGAGCTGCTATAAATTAGCACCACAGTTTTACTTCAAGTTGTCTTTAATCTGAAAGGAGGAAAGCAACAGAGGAGCAGCACAATAATACCCCATGGTTATATGTAAAGTAAATGTGCAACAAAGTACAAAGAAAGCTCAGCGTAGCTCCAAATATTTAACCAGTCGCGTCTTCTCTGCTGATAAACTGCCTGCTGCATTCTCCACTGGATGTGGATACCTAAGCAGAGTAATCATTTCAATCGTTCACATCAGGAAACCTATCCACTCTCATCCATTCTGACCACAAATAAGGACTCTAAACAAACAGCTCTCATTAAGCAATTTAAGAAAAGTTTGTGATACAAAATGCAACAATAAAAACCTAACATTTCCAGTTTAAGAATGCAAGCAGCCAAAGAGAAAACATTTACTAATAAAACAAGACAACACAACTCACTCAGCATCATAATTATGAGAAAACATCCATTTTTCCATTGCCATTTCATTCGGCAACCTCAAACATATTTACAAAGATCTACTAAATTAATTTTTAGGGTTGGTGCAGCAGCATTTTATAGAATAACTTGTAGAAATGGATGTGACTAAAATCAACATGCACTGCTGTGTAATAGTTGGGTAACATTTATCTATTAAACATCACAAAAGCAGTATTGCAGGATTACTGCATTATTAGGTTGTGTTCTACAGTTCATACTGTTGTGGAACTAATTTTAGTATGCTGACATTAACATTTTTGTATCAAACTGTATGATACCATAAAGTATGCATAGCACAATGTAGTAGGTAACAAAGAAATAAAATATAAAGCCCAGACATTTGACATAGGCATGCTGCATCAGGTGCTTTGAAATGTAAGTTGCATCTTTTTCATAACGCTTTCACAGAACACAACATGTATTAAAATTCATACTAAATCCTCTTTTTCTTTTTAAGGTGTATTAATGTAACACAAGGTGAAATTATTTCCGACAGGTTATTTAAAGGGGGACATTTTGAACCGTTACTCCACATCTTCTATAACAGTATTACAGGATTTATATTTGTGTTGTTTTTTTTCATGTCTACTTTAAAAACTGTCTGTGATGGCTAACATGCTTGTATGCCTAAGAACATTGCGTGCAATCAAGTTAAACTCAGAATCAGACAAGGTAAATAAAACTTTGCTGTTTTGATATTTTGCAGGATTTAAGACTCACTGGCTTGCATGAGCTGACCCTGACGCCCAAACACCTGGGAGAAAGGGCTTCGGCTGCAGGTGAGCGTCTCCTCCATGGCTGAGCTCCTCCAGAAGGGGACAGGTCCTTTGTCTTCAGAAAGAGAAAGTGCAGTGAGGGTCAGCCTCTGAGCGTGGATAAGGTTTGCTGTTGCACTGAAGCAATCCTCACTTTGTGGATCTGGACAAGGCATTCGACCATGTCCCTCAGGTCCTTTGTCTCTCAACCCACTGATCTGGCTCTGAAACCACCTCACGACTTTATGGCTTTCCCAGGGCTGTCATTTGCTTTTTACGGCTGCCTCCCGCTGACTGCAGATCAGTCGTTGTGGCTCGTTGCCTCAGATGCTGACAGTGTTGCTGCTGCTGTTCAGCTGATGGGAGATCTGTGTTGGATTGCTCTCAACTCGTTCATTAGTGCTCCAGTGTGGCGCTGCTTCAGACAGCAGCAAAGAGGATGAACAAAGCAAGGGAGAGAGAGCGATGAGAAGCCTGCTCTGCAGAGAGAAGACTGACAAAAGTGAGAATAGAGACGACTATGCATGTAGCCACTTGTAATATTATACTGTAGCTGCTGCTTATAGGGCTGTGAGGTTCTTTTCTCTTATTCATCCAACCTGATTACTCTATGACGAGTTGCTAGGCATACATGTTGGGAGATGGACAACATGTCTGACAGATGTCAAATTTGTTCACAGGCTTCTGAGTATGTGCTGTAAGCAAATACCAGCATTCTCGTGTAACCCTAGGCACTTTAATGTGACAGAGGGGGGGGAAACAGGACTTATAGCTGCTCAAATCAAAAGCTAAAAATAGAGCATAGAGGTAAATTAAATGAATGGAGCCAACCAATCATGACATTGTTTGTGCAATTACATTTTTATATACTCCTCTACAATTACCGTTTCCTTCTCTTGTGTGCTCAAGCCTACTCTGTGTTTAATGCCTGGAACCAAAGCAAATTCCCTTCAGGATAATAAAGTTGAATTTGTTTTTCACTGGGTTGCACCCCTCTTTGCCAAATATAGAGAGGAGCGATCCTGCATCTTTCCATCACACACAAAGGTTCATGTAAGACTTTGCTTGTGTAGGCACAAAATAGCACATTCAAATCACCTTTCAAAGCAAAACATATTCTGAGCAGAAAACCACAAACATGAAAACCAGTTTCAAACTAAAGGGGCTGGTGGATCATTAAAAATGGATCTGCATCCTTTATTAATGTCCTCATTACCATGTCTGTTCTGCTCCCACATGAACATCATGCCGGGAGGGAAGAGTTGTTCACAAGTACTTTTATCTCTGTATCTTGTTGATATCGTTTCCGCCCAGTGCTGCTTGGATGGGGGTGATTACAATGCCAGACACAATCATCTCTGTTTTAAACTCAGTCTTGCACAAGTTACGTGGGCGGAAAATTAGCTGGTGCTCTCAGAGCCTACAATGCTCAAATATTGAATTTTAATTAGATAAATTCTAGGAGGATTAGGAGTTTGCTTTTCAACAGAGATCACTACTGCTACAAAAAGTTAATGTTAGTGTCATTAAACACAGCGACAAACACACTGTCAGCCAAAATTAGTTGTGCCAGAGGTTGTTTGACTCGGCTCCCGCATCCATCGCACCTGAAACACTGATCCTGACCAATCTTGTAATCATCTCATGCACTGCTCACCCACACATGAGAATTTAACTTAACTCCAGATGACAGTACATCAACTCCACCAGCGTGTACCTTTCATCAACACAGATATGGACACAATTCATCTCACACAATGTTTCCGTGTCAGGCCAGAAGTAATATCATTTATCAAGATTCCAAGAAGAAGAACAACATTAAAAAGAAATTGAAGCTTCTCCTTAGATGGTCTGGATGTTTGTTTTCAATCATGTGTCCTCACTTCTCACCTTAACTTCCTATGAGAATTCAATGGCCCTGGGCTGAGATGCTAAGATTTTTTGAGGATAAAAACACAGCCTTGCAGTCAGAAGCTATTGCTGAACTTGTGAGATCCTGTACCTTAGTTTGTTGCTGTAAGTATACTGTCATGACTCCCAACTAAAATTCATCTGACAAGCACTGCTGCTTAAAGAAACCTGAAAGCTGATGCCTTATTCCCAGTGACAACACAACATTTTTTTTTATTAATTTAAGCAGCACATCAGCTGCATTTAGTGCCTTTTACTCGTGTCTGCAATGAATCCTAAAAGAGGTTGTATCTCACAGCTTCTGGTTTTCCTCAGATACAAAGCCATGCTGCAACATGTGCTCTAAAGCTGTTCCAATTTCTGCTAAGTCACTTTGTTGGAGCTTTGAACACCTGAGAGAAAAAAGTAAAAAAAAAATCCAAACCACTTGATTCATTACAATATCACTCAAAGTGAAAATACACTGCTCAAAAAAATTATGGGAACACTTAAATCACATATCAGATCATGATGAATGAATAGCTCAAGTTGAAAACTATTCACTTACTAATGTACATTGTACAATTTGTTCAGAACAAAATGACATAAGAGTCAATGGAAACCAAACTCATCAAACCATGGAGGGTTGTATTCAAAAATCACACTGAAAATCAAAGTGAAAAATTGAAATCACAGGTTCATCCAGGTTCACCACAGCAACTTATAATATGGCTCAGAAGAGTGTTTGGCTCCCGCGTGCCTGTATGCACTCCTGACAAAGTCTACATGACCCTGATGAGTTGGCAGATGGTGTCCTGGGGGATCTCCTTCCAGACCTGGACCAGAGCATCAGTGAGGTCCTGGACAGTCTGTGGTGGTACTTGGTGGCGTCAAATGCACCGAGTTGGATTTAGGTCAGAGGAACATGAAGGCTAGTCAATGACATCAGTGCCTTCATCATCCAGGAACTGCCTACACACTCTGGCCACATGAGTCCTGCACCAGGAGGAACCCAGGGCCCAGTGCACCAGCATAAAGTCTGACAGTCACTCTGAGGATTTCATCTCGGTACCTCACAGCAGTCAGGATACTGTTGGCTATGACATAGAGGTCTGTGCGGTCCTCCAGGGATAGGTTTCCTCAGACCACCACTTACCCACCACCAAACTGGTCATGCTCAGTGATATTACAGGCAACATAATGTTCACCATGGCGTGTCCAGACTCTTTCACATCTGTCACATGTGCTCGGTGTGAACCTTCTCTGACAGCGTGGTCAGAAACATGCACACCAGTAGCTGCTGGAGGTCATTTTGTAGGGCTCTCACAGTGCTCCTCTCATTCCTCCTTGCACAAAGAAGCAGATACCGGTCCTGCTGCTGGGTTGTTGCCCTGTCCAGCTTTCCTGGTGTAATGGCCAGACTCCTGGCATCGCCTCCATATTCTTGAGACTCCTGAAGGACACAGCAAGCCTTCATGTGACTGCTCATATGGATGTGCCATCTTGGAGTAACTGGACTACCTGTGCAACCTGACTGAGCTGCAGGTACTGCCTAATGCTACCAATAGTGACAAGGACACTAGCAAAACCCCAAACCTGAGAAGAATCACTCAAGAAGGATCAGGAGAGAGCATTTGTCTGTGGCCACCACATGTAAAACCATTTCTTTTTGGGGGTTGTCTTGCTTTTGCCTTTCCATTCCACCTGTTGTCACCTTCATGTGCATCGAAGCAGGTGAAACTGATTCACAATCACTTGTGCTTCTGAAACAGATTTATTGATATCCCTGAAGTTTAACTGATTTTGTGTTATACAGTGATGATCAAGTGTTCCATTATATTTGAGCAGTTTAATCCTCAGCTAGAGAACATACCCACAAGCCATGAAATACACATGGAAGAAGTGAGCCAGTCTTGTGCTTCTGTATTTTATTACACTCTTGGCTATAGCCATGACACAAGGGGGTGGGGAAACTACAGTGATTTGTCAGTGTCACAGATATCCAGTGTTTTCTCTTAATATGGAAGAATCATGAGGTTATCCTTCAGCTGGACATCTATATTATATGCTCGTGGCAAATAAATAAAAAACTGCCAAAATTCCAAATGATTTCTTACCCAGAGAACTGCATGTTAATGAACTATTAATCTTAAGCAGAGACAACTGATTGACTTTCAGTGACTGAGAGATCATGCTGACTCAGGCCAGCACTTGCACTAGCTGCTGCATTTCTATGGGTAGGTTAATTAAATAGTTTTGCTAAATTAAATTCAGCAACATTACTAAAGTTAAAGGGGATAAAGGAGTCTGTCAGAGCGTCCACCATTCAAATAATTAGTAAGGTGTGTTTTTAATGCTTCGGCAACACTATTTATTGAAACTTCCATGCCAATAAAGCCCTTGGAAATGAAGTAAATCAAAGCGATAACAAAAGCTTACAGACAGGAAGAAGCAAAAAAACAGGTAACAGGAATTAGGCGGAGACTTACCACAAACAGGAGAGCACGCCGCAGATCCAAGGAAAAGGAAAGGACTGGTGATCTGGACTGATGAGGGTGATTGGGGAACAAGCTACAGGTGAGCAGGTGGGTGTGAAAGCCAGGTGACTAAGCAACGTTACCTGGTGGTCAGGTGGTGAATGACAGCGAATGTAAAGGTTCAAGGAAACCCTAAGACAGGTAGTAGAACTGCAGTTGAAGGCAGTGATAGGGGCAGCACAGGCAAAATAAACATAACTGGAGTTGGAACTGTTACTGTGTTTCGTGGCACACTTGTACAATACGCACACTGTTTGTGTAGAATAAAAGTCCACAGGGTATGTTTAAGAGACAGTTTAAATAGTATCTGCCATGTACTTCAATGCACCAGTTACAGCGTGTTGCCAGGTAATGCCAGTTAGCCTGGGTTTTAGTTTTGATTTCTACACAGGAATGATACTAAATCATCACCGTCACTGTTGCTTTGAGTCAAGCTATGTGACGGTGCCAGTCTTTCACTAAGCTAGATACACAGAGCTCTGTATTTAACCCACCCCCAGAAGACTATAACTACCCTCCCACCTCACTCTGTGGGGAAAAAAGTGAATAGGCATATTTCTCAAAACACTGTGCTGTTTCATTAAATATAAGATAAACACTCCCATATATGGACTTCAAGTAGCATAAGCCTTTTGTTTTAATGTTAGCTCACAACTTTTATTGGATTTCTTTTTATTTACAAGAAGGCATAGGCATTTCCATTTGTTTCTGTAGATTATTAAACATTCCCTTCAAAACTGCAAATTATTTTTGATGAAAGCCACAGTGGAAATCAAATGAACAAATGACAACAAACCTATTTGAATACAATTACATTTTTACTGATATTAGTTTTCTGATACTACAATCATTACATTAGATTTCACCAATCTATTACTTTGTCTCTTTTGTTAGCTAAGCCTATTAATGTCATATACTGACATATACAGAGAAATATGTAAAAGGTGTCATAATTTTTGTACCTTATCATTAGAAATTGCATTTATATTTTTTGCTATAAATACAGATTTTATTTATGACAGATGAATGCTAACATCAAACAGCTATTCTACATAATTATTCACCACTTTCCTAGAAACCAGGTCACAGGTTGGTGGCTGTGAATGAATGTGCATGGAGACTGTTTTGGCACCCAGAGTCCAAATGTTAAAATACTGGTGGTGGATACTTTAAAATAGCATAAAACCATGTGTGAATGGACATGGATTATTCAAACATAATGCGAAACTTGCAGAAGAAATGCAATGGAATCTATCACTCTGTAACTTAATGTAAGAAAAGTGTGCCACCACCTGGATGTTTTAGTACTTTGTAGTCAGGCACATACTGCCATAAGCTTCATATGGTACAGTAACAGATTGCATCCATTTATCTCCAATAATGCAATTAGCCCAAACTGTTTACTGAAGATTCAAGCAAACAAACGTCACATATAACCTTATCATTCATTTATTTATTCAGAAGACTTGCTAAAAAAAAACCCTTAGTGCAAATCATACACAGAAACTGCAACATGATTTTAAATTATTAATAAATATACATAACTCAATTTGCACTTCAAATTTCTATAAGCACTTTTCACAGTTAAATAAAAGTCTCCCAAACCATCCTGTACACCATAGCAGTATGTCTGAATGACGGAAACATTACCAGGCCTGAAGAGGCAAAAATGGAAAACAGAAGTACCCCGTTACTATCTCAAATACAAACTATTGTCAAGTTTTAGTTTGTCATAATTATATAATTTACTCAAAATGAAATAATTACCCTGTATAGCAGTTTTTTTCTTCAAATTAGCTTATAAAAACTAAAACATAATGCATAATACTCTTTAAAATTAGTGACAACTTGTCACAAACATTTTCTTGTCACTCCAGGGTTTCAGAAAAAAAAATTCCCATAACTGGGCTAACATTTCCACTTTGTGATTTATACATGATCAAATTCATCACACACACGTCACACAATAAACTGCTGACAACTGTTACACAGAGTATGAGCAATGAAGTGCTACTGATCTAAAGACTTAAATCAACTGTACTTTCAATACAAAAGTGTCCAGAAACACAAAACATTTGACAAAGATTTGTAGAAGTGCAAAGCAAAGCGTAAATGCAAACCGGTCTGTCACTATTTCAGGATATCAGAAGAAATGTAGCAGAGCCTAACATTGGAGTTGGCTTTGTCAGTACTGTTCAGAATTGAACACTTCTTACTGTAAAAGTGGCAATGACGCATCCAAGCTGTACAGAATATTATACAACCTCTATTTGGGATTGCAAGTGCAAATACATCAAATGCCAGTTTCCCAAAAGTTGAGAATTGGTGGTCTACAAGCGTGAACATCTAAAACTTTACTTCCCTAATAGTAATCAACTGTGTTGAAGAACCGTGACAGGTAGCTTGTGGCCAATGGTACACTGCACAACGGTGTGTGTTACTTCTATGATTCTGTTGAATCTCTACGCGTTTCATGTAAATACACTGGCTAATGTCAATCAAACCAACAGAGCAATATCAGATTCAGGCCTAACAGAGTCAACATAATATCCTAAACATCCTAAATTAATTAACTGTAGTACAAGTGCACAGCATGCAGTAAAAATTTAAACCAAAAAGCCACAGACAACAGATAAGGAAAAGTGCAAACATATGCTGAAAATGATTGCCACCTGCCATCCTCTCTAAGGAAGAAATGAGAGCAGCCTTCCAGCTCAGGTCCCCCCCACTTCCTTTCCAATTCATGACAGCAGACAGATTAACGTCAAAGTGCAAATCCAAACTGCTGCCAGAAAGTTTACAAATGAAGAAGAAATCTACAAAACCCCAGGCTACTACAAAAGCATTCAAATACTCAAACACATCCACTCGCTGCAGTATCCTTGGTCGCCTGTTTTATCCATCCAATATTCAGTTACTTATTGTTGTACAGTATAATGCAAACTACAGGGCTGATTGGGTTTACAGTGTGAAGCAATTGTCTCTCTTTAGTATGATTAAAGATGTATGGGGAGTTCCACACAGCAGGGTCCTGAAAGTGACAAAACACAACATGAGGAGGTTGCTTAGTACTGAAAGCACCCTTTCATCTTCCTTAACATTGTGAATGAATCTTATGCATGATTTTTTGTATGTACCTATCTTACCAGTACAAATAAATAGTCTACATCTGTTCTTTGTTTGCAATAACTATACTTAATGTATCATTTTTATAAACATAAATTGACTACATGTATCATTTTGCAGAAAGCTAAGTGTGATTTAACCACCTGCTGATCCCCCGATGGACATGTAGTCTTCAAGACATAGCACTTTGCTCAGAACCGCTGGTAGCGCCTCCTGCTGCCTCTTCGCAGCTCTGGGTGGGAGGCAGCTCATTCTGTGGTACAGTCTGTCGTGGTTTCACTATGGTGATTTTAATGGGGATTCTTTTGATGCTATGCTGCACTCTGCTATACTGGCGCATAGCAGGGTTGAAAGTGCGGACAATGGGAAGTTCATTGAGAGTTGGTGTCTCTTGCTTTGGCTGTGTGCCCTCTTTTATAATTATTTTACTTCTTTTGTTTGCAAAGACAGTCTGCACTGGTAGGATGGCAGGCCTCTTAGTGGAGCTGGATGTCTGCAGTCTTGTTTTGTGTTGAGGTGTGGCTTGCTGCTTCTCATCAACACAAGAAACCCCTCTGTGCATGTGTCCATCATTTTCCTTTGTCACAGAGATTCCTCCTTCTTTTCGTTTCTTCACCTCTTTGGGTTTTTTGGGGCACACTGCCATGTGTTTCGTTCTGCTACGACGCATGGTGAACTCCCTGCTACAATGTGGGCAGACAAATACGTCCTGCTGCTCATCCACCTGTGCAGATGGCACTTTTGATGAAGGGTCTGACTTGTTCCTCTGTGGCATAACTCTGTGGACTAACTTTTTCTTCTTTTGCTCTTTTTTCCTTTCTTTGTTCAGTACTTTGAATTTAAACTTTACTGGTGATTCACGATTAGATTTGGATCTGTGTGACTGACTCGCTCTGTTGGAAACATTTAGTCCATTAGTAGAATTTGTAGTAGACAGCACTCCATTCTCAGATTTTGCAAAGTAGCGCAGAGGGATGGGATTCTTTTTGGGTGTGTATCGCTTTTTATCACTGGCATTTGCACAAGCCAGGATATGTTTGTGCAGCTCTGGCATGTTATCAAAGCTCTTTCCACACTTGGTGCACCGAATAGCTGTACTAAAGGTTTGTGGGATATTGTGGGTGGTGAAGTTCGTGGCTGAAGCCAATGAGCCAGTGGGTGATCTGTTATGGTAAGGAAATGGAGGGGGCTTGAAGCTGGGATAGTGTTGGTTAATGCCAAGACGAACATCAGGCCCTTTGATTTTGCTTCCATCTGAGGCCATGACTTTTACAGTAGTAAACAGTTCTTCAGCAGCCACATCCACTTCCCCTTCTTCCTTTTTCACAAATGTATTGGGTTCCTCTGGAGCATCAGGCACTGAAGGCTCTGTGTTGACTTTTGATGAGCTGTTGTAGTTCTGTGGTCTTAGTTTTCCTTTTTCTTCTTCTGTGTATGTACACTGCTGGCCGGGATGCAACTCCTCCTGATGCTGTTTCAAATTGCAAAGGTATACAAATTCTTTTGTACATGCACTGCAAACATAAGTCTTGCCGACACCATGGAGGCTTGATCTATGGTCCAACAAAGCAGACGGCTTGCCAAAGACCAGCACACAGAACTCACATTTATAGGGCCATTCATCGGCATGGTCACTTACATGATGGCCTAGCTCTTTCATTGAATGAAAAAGCTTATCACACACATTGCAGATGAAATTCTTGGTGAAACTCTGTTGTAGTGCATCAGTTGGTGTGTTGTTTGAGGCTTCGTTCCATTGAGCTTTGTCAGAAGGGGCTGATATTTCAGATTGGATTTTGAGGATGGAAACAGAACTGTTAATAGCTTCTTCCTCTTTTGTGGTTGGTGGCTCTGCATTAACAGGCTGTGGGTCATGCTGTGAGTCAGCCTTTGGGTCAGGAATTGGTTCCCCTACAGCAGGACAATCAGATACCGCCGAGTTGGCTAGGGTTACTGGTTCTGCGATAGAGGACACAAGAATAGTGGGGTCCACAATATGAGGGTTGGGCACAGATAGAATCTGCTGCTGTTCTATGTGATTAACAACCATCTGTGTAGGTGCTGGAGGCTCTGCAGTATTTTCTTGTAAGGTAATTGCAGCAGGGACTACACTCCCTGGGGCTTCAAGAGCTATTGTGCACTCTATCAACACTGTGTTACTGGTAATGTTGTAAGAATTGATGAGGGAGTCATTTAAAGTTACAGTGGATGTAAATGGCACATCAGACACAGGAGTGGACTTGTCCATGGATGGACTGAGAGCAATTTGATCAGTGAGAAACACATGACCAGGCAGACTTAAAGTCTGGTCAAGGGGTTTGTAAAGAGTGACCAGGTTTGTTAAATCACACTCTGAAGAATTTAATGCATTTTCTGTGCAGATTACCAAGGGTTTGGGAGATAGACTTGGGCCCAATACCTGAATTGGTTGACTTGTAGGATTAGAAATAGGCGATGGTGCCAAAACTGTGATTAATGAAGGGGCAGTAGGGAGCATGGTATGTGAGGTTGGGGATGCAAATGCTATAGTGCATGGGGAAGCTGGCTGCAAGGCAACAGGAGTAAGGGAGGCAGGTGAAGGAGTCAGAGAACTGGGAGGCAGGGCAAGTCCATAAACAAGCCCTTCTGTAACAGGCTCCACTGGGGTCACTATATCTGAACCTGTGACTATGGCAAAGTCTGAGACTAAAGGAGTCTCAGAATTCCCTAGGCTTACACTTTGCCCACCAATATTTATTATGGCTTTCTCCACCATGCATGCATTTGATTTTTCTTTCAAAACTGACTGCGAAAGTACATTTAAGGTCAATTCAGATTCGTCCAGGCTCTTTTTTTGCAAACTCAAATCCAGTGCAGCATCAGCTAAAGCTACATCTTCAATACTTTTGACTGTATTGGAGAGATCCAGTGGTTGCTGGTTACAGGAATTGCCACCTGTCATGAGGGTCCAGGTCTCAGTCAACATTGATGGTTCATCCACAGATAGAGTTCTGTCATTTTCATGAGCAGTTTGATGCACAGGTGAGCTATGTGGGGTCTCAATCTGTCCTGCACTTCCAGGATCCTCTGTAGGTGGTGTTGGTGTTTCCTCAACAGATGATGGGTTTTGCTGTGGAGAGCTTGTTGGCGAACCAGTCCTTCTTTTAAACCTTCCTGTTCCAGCAGGCAGGACTGAGAGAGAGACAGGTGAACAAGGCTTTTGGCCATCTGTGATCAGGGCAAGTGTAGGGTTAAGTCCATCCTGCTTCTCCAAGAGTTGCTTCAGCTTAGGAGACAGAAACACAGTTCTTTCGTTTTGAACAACTGTAGACTCTGTATTCTGAGGAAGCAGAGTCTCAATTAAAGACGATACAAGTGATGATGAAGAAGACGACACCACGACCTCAGACTCCAGTTCAGTTTTAATTTGTGGTAAAATGGGTGGTGTTGCAGTTCTTCTCTTAGCCAGTGGTTGACCAGGTATATCTTTGCATGTAACTGGATCTGTATGTAAAACCTGGCTGATGTGGGCGGGGTCTAGAATCAGGGCATCCAGTCCAATTAAAGTTGAAGACCCTGAATGAACCTCAGCTGCTTCACAGTTACTCACTGTACTTGTTGACACTATCTTTCCATCAATGTAAAAGCTGAGATTCTCTGAAATATTGCTCGAAACATCTAGCATGTATTGCTCTCTGTGCTCCTCTTCATTCTCCAGAATTGCAGCAGGTGCTCTATTTTTACCAAGCTCTATCTCCTGTTGAGCTGTTTCACTGAATATCTTGTGAGTTTTCTCCTCCATCAGCTGGTTTTTTTCTACACATGCAAGTTGCAGGTGCTGATTATGGATCCTGCATTCATGCTGTTCTCTGTTGGCATATGTAGTGAATATCTTTTCACAGAACTTGCAAGCATGACGGCCATCTAATACTCCCTGTCTGTTTAGCTTGTCACCAGCTGACAAAACTGAGGTATTAGAGCTAGTAGGGGATGAAGTATGAAGTTGCATGACTGAGCCTACTGAATCGAGAGGTTTCATCTTCTCATGCTGCAGCTGATCTAGTTTTGAACCAAAAGACGGGTTGCTCTCTTTGCTTTTGTATGCATTTGCCTCATTGTTCACCAAAAGATGGATGTGCATGTGTCGTTCAAAGCCTTGTTTGCTGGCAAAATGTCTCTCACAGTGCTGGCAAGGATAAGATTCCTGGTCTCTCTCAGTACCCTGACTGGGTTGTTTGTGAGGCTCTTGGTGCAAAGACTTATTCATGTCTTCTGCTTGACAAATAACTTCCTCCTCTATATCCTCTTTGTCTCCAAAGTCAGAGATGTATGTGTGAGAAGAGTTCTCCATCTTCTGTTGGGATTATATCCAGTTCTGAAGGAAGTCTGTCACACAGGACTCTGACAGTGACACACCTATTGAATAGATAAAGAAAATATTGCAAATTATAAAACAGACATTGTCCTGTCAGAGAGATCTTCAACTCCCGCCTCCGGCAGAGCTTTGACCAGATCTCGGGGGAGGCTGGAGATATTGAGTCCGAGTGTACCATATTCTCCACCTCCATTGTCGATGCGGCCATTCGGAGCTGTGGCCTAAGGTCTCCGGTGCCTGTCGTGGTGGCAATCCCCGAACCCGGTGGTGGACACCGGATGTAAGGGATGCCGTCAAGCTGAAGAAGGAGTCCTTTCGAGCCTGGTTGGCTCGTGGGACTCCTGAGACAGCTGACGGGTACCAGCAGGCCAAGCGGGCTGCAGCCCAGGCGGTTGCGGAGGCAAAAACTCGGTTCTGGGAATAGTTCAGTGAGGCCATGGAGAAGGACTATAGGTCGGCCTCGAAGAAATTCTGGCAAACCGTCCGGCGCCTCAGGAGGGGGAAGCAGTGCCCTGCCAAAACTGTTTACAGTGGAGGTGGGCAG